TAAGGACAGGAGTCAGACTTTAACAGAATCTAGGCACAGAGCACATGGGGTTTCCTTCGTTTTGTACCCTGAAACTGATCCAAGGGAGGCAGATAATAGAATTTCTGCATCCATTCTTGCACTTGAAAATGATTATTGCTTCACCATTTTCACTTCCTGCCTTATGCCTTCATCTGTGTCCCTAGGAATGGCACATGAAGCTCAGCCATCTAATCCTTCTACTCCTCTCTCTGGGATGAAACACTCAATGTGCCTTGGCCTGGAGCACTTTGAAGATTGATTTAATATCCTCTGATTGCTGCCTGAATTCTGACAGTTTCCTGGGTCTTAGGAGATGATTAAAGAAACAAACCACACCAAGTTCTAAATCAGCTGTCCCAAGCAAGGTTAACTAACAGAAATCTTTATACTTCACACTGACTGACTTTACCTTCCATGTATATGACTTCACCTTCACTGTACTACAAAGTCTAACACTTTGCCTGAAATTTGGATTTTAAAGTATCAATACTTATCTGTTCCTGAGCCATCATAAAAGCCTTACTTATCTACACACTTCCACTTATTCTTTTGCTCATTCTCCATTTGTGCCTTGTGCACATTCCATCCCGCAGCATCTCCTCACACCTCCTGCTAGCCCCACAGGGACACCAGGAATTCTGTTTGCCTGTTTCCCTTTGCATTAGCAGCTTTGGAAGAAGGAAATCAGGTTGTGAAATCTCTTCTTATGAACAGGAGCAAATATCCCTTCATGCCCCACTGCTGAGAGCACATTCAGATGAAGCAGCACTTCAGGTTTTAGTCTTCCAGCCAAACTGTTTGTAGAGTTTGTTCTTGCTTCCACCTCCACAGCAAAGCCCATAGTTTCAGTCAGTGACAGGTAACAGAGTGAAGAAGAGGATGAACAGAAGCAGAGCGATGAACACAGTGATAAAAGCAGTGTTTGAAAGCTTCACCCTACGAAACTTAATCAATTCCTAATTTCATTCTCTTGGAAAAAGCATTGCACAGAAATCCTTCCAAGATCAATGGGTACTACATACAAACTTCTGGCAGGAAGTTGGCTGCCTATTACTTCTGCACTTTTAATACCTGTTAGCACTTTAAACCTTGAAACGACAGAAACTTTCCAACTTCGTAAACGTTTCCAATGGATTTCATATAAACTCAGTATCAGTTTCATGGCTTAAGCAATTTTCACACAGTTCTTCATGGAATTAGTAGGTGAAAACTGATCTATAGCCTATAAAGGATGTTTAGAGACCATTGTGTGTTTTTTTCCCCCAATTTCAGGGACATTTAAACACAGCAGAAGCACAAGGAGCTGTTTCCACTCACCTTTGTGAAAGAGGCAAACACCAACAGATTGTTTTGCAATGCACAAAGTGAGCTGTCCATACCAGCATTAAAGACAAAGCTGCTCCATATAACCACTGAGTTGTTAGGGGTACTCAGAGCAGTAAGCTGCACTTCATTCCAGAGCTGAAAGAGAACAGGCCAAGAAGCCTCTGCAAACCCCATCCCTCACATTCCTCTTCCAGATCAGTGAACCTCTCACTGAAGCACAGAGATATGTTTACATTTCCAAATATCCTTTGTGAAGTGACATTTATTAACAAACTTGGCACAGAGAAGCCTCACTGGGAGAAGACACTACCAAATCTCCTTCTCAGTGTCTCACTAATGACGTTGGCAGAGTGAATTCTCACTGCTTAGAAGGAATCAGAAACAAAATCTGCACCAAACAGAATAATGTAAGTCAATAACACAAACTGGGAGATAAGAAGTACCTGATTAAATTATACCTCACAGAGTATTGTAAGGATTATTCCTTCCCTTTTCCCTCCCCCTTATCCATAACATTTGGCAGTCTGGAAGCAGGTTTGGCTTAGCTTCTAGTGCTGTACATATCTGCATCTTCTGGGCTAGACTGTCCATGGTCCATAAGTTTTGGATCAGGCTTAAATTTTGGTGTCTTCACTGTTCCTGTTGGAGATATGACAGAAGTGTAATTAAAAATACACACATATTTGAGCTGTGGGGGGGAAAAAAAAAGCTTAATGACACATTTTGAGAATTTCTCTCTTACCAAACACTTCCAAAAGATCAAACAAACTGTGTTAAGAAGTGCTGGAGGGCAAGGAAGGCATATTGTGATTGTGAGCACACAGCACGGATGGAGAGCAGGATTGCCTCCCCCTCCCTCTCCCTAGTACTGCTTCTAATCCCTTCCTGAATGCAGCAGGGTGGGAGAAGAACTAGTGATGCTTTGCCCAACACTTGGGAAAAGGAAAGTCTGAGGCATGGAAAACAATCTGCAGTCTTTCTTGCCTCACTGCTCCCAGGAGCAGAGCTGTCTCCCAAACCCAGCCCAGTCAGGATCCTCCCTGCAGCTGCTGCCAGATGGAGAGAATTCCAAATGAAGACAAACACTCTTACCTAGTTTCACTTCATGACTTCCAAAAGCTATGAACTGAGTTTACTGAAACACTGAGCCCTCACATTCCTCCTGAGTGACAGTGCAGAACGACATATTTAATGATTCTGCAATTCCAGAGGATCTAAGGGAGTATCAAGGCAGGTTTTGTGGGGCTGTGCCTCCTGCTCCTGGTCTTTCTCTTCTTGGTTAAACAAAGGGTGCTGTGTTCCCCTGAAAGCTTTGCCCCATTTGCACCAGAGCAAACAAACATCTGTGACAACACAGAGTAATTTAGGACATGGATATTTTTGGCTGTATTAGGGACATGAACTAATTCCTCCTATGAAAGCAAAGCCAGAAGAGATCTCTATACACAAACCCAATAAAGTCAGCCTGGCCTGAAGCCAATGTTAAAACAGATCAATGCATCCCACAAAGTACATCAGAGAAAATACAGGTGCAAAGCAAAGAAAGATGCCAATGTGAACTGCAGTGAAAATAAAGGGAAATAAAAATATTACTGCCCACTCAGATCTGTCCTGCTTGCTTTCCAGAGAAAAACAGAGAAACAAACACTAATTCCAGTTTGCTGCTTTCACCAAATCCAGCAGTAATTCTTTCAGCTACACTCCTGGTACTCTGACAACAGAATTTCAAGTAGGTATTTCACAGCAGCACTTGATGTCACCTCATTGCTGACAATCTGGGGTGTGATCCACACCAAAGGGAACAAAAGCAAACACTGCTGAGGGAGAGCAGCAGATAACAAGAATGGTGATATTGCCACAGGGTCCCCAGGGAGGAATGATCACTCCCTGAGGCTCTGAAATATGCATCCATGGCAGCATGGACAGTGTGCTCTCAAGAATAATATGCTGCTGTTTTAGAGCAAGACTGACTACAGAATTAAATCAAGTAATTGCATTTGCAAGTTGCCCTGAGATTACACTTGAAATGTTTAATTCACCTGATGAAGGCACTGGATCTTTATTACTCCAAGACTCTACTGGGGCAGAGTCTGTTCTGTTAAATGATCTTGACTCGACAGCAGACTCAGGTTTTGCACTAGAATTCCCTTTCTTTTTCTTATCTTCTTGAGCAATTGGCTTTGACTCTTGCTGCAGCTGTGAACCAAACATTAATAAAAGACAGCACATGGGTATATGCTTAACACATTACTGCAAAACAAAACTTTCAAGTCTGGGAGCTTCTCTCTTATGAAATTATTTGCAGATATGACATCATGCAATGATATTCAAAGTCAGCTGCACACAAGGGACACAGCTGGAAAGGATACAATGCATGAAAGAACCCAACAGATCAGACAGAACAACTTTAAATTCACCTGTAAGGGAATTTGTCATGAGTGTATACTGAAATCTGATACCTGGGACCCTCAAAGTGCTTCACAAGTTCACTGACAGACAAGGAACCTACAGGACTGAAACAGCACTGAGGTTTTACAGCACACTTACTACCCCTAGTTAACAGAGGATGAAAAGATAAATCATGGTAACACTCCAGTTAGGAATATGTTTTTGAACAGGCTCCACTTGGGACAAAAAATGAAGTTAACAGAAACTGTTTGTACCACATCAATTCCTGTTTCACTCTCAGTTTAATGACAGTTATCTGAATCTCATTTTCAAAACTCAGAATCCCATTTGTGCTCCTCAGGGGAAATAAAAGGTGAGGACTGCATGCCAATGAGCATGGGAAATGTGAAGCAAAATACTTTTACATATTAATATAACTGAGAAACTTTCATTTTCTATGAAAAGGGTAAAAGAAATGAGAGTGCAAAGCTGAAATTTTACTCAGGGAAGTGCTACTTTTGTCAAGGGTTTATAAATTTCCACTGGAGAAAAACCTTTTCAGGTTGCAGCAAAGATACATTTCATTCTAGGATTACTAACCCAAATTCCAGATGTAATTTACAGGGGGTTAATATTCCCCTCTACTTACTGCTGGCAAGGCCTCAGCTGGTTTAATATGTCCTATTTTGAGCACTTCACTTAAAAACCACAAACCACGCACAAAATCCCTTAAAACCAGAAAAAACAGAGAGACTGGAGAAAATTCAGAGGAGAGTAAGAATCATGTCAGAGGTAGAACTCCTGCTCTGTGAGAAAAGGTTATCCTGGAGAAGAGTGTCAAAAACCATGATAAACTTTCCATATGTAACAGGTCAATCTAAAGAGGTTACTGACCATTTATTCACTGTGGCTGCAGTGAGGACAGGACAAGGAGAAAAAAAAGAAGTCAGATACAGTTTATATCTCAGGCTAAACAAAACAGACTTCCTGGAAGAATAAGCTGCTCATTCCTCCTGTAATTCTGAGTGTCTGCATCTGAAATTCAGGGCAAGCCTCAGACAATGGATTCTTGGCATCAAGAGAAACAATGAGCTGGAAGAGAAACTCTGTTCCCCTGTGCATCCTGCAGGTACTGTGGGACTACAGAGGGGATTCAGTCCCTGTTCTGACAGGTGTCACATCCATTAAACACTGAAGTGACACAAATATCAGATGGGGTTTGTGCCTTGCTAGCACAGTGACCCAAAACAGTATCAGCACATTGGAACTTGACCTTCTAACTGACCTTTTCCTCCCTCTGAGTGCAGGAGTTACCTCAGAAGTCCTACCTTGGTGACAGCTTCCTTGTCTGCCCACAGTGATCTCACAGCCTCATAGGTCTGACGACCTGCACAAGCTAACTTCTTCCCTGCTACCTGTTTTTGGAGAAAAACATAATTAACAACAGCTTTAAAAAGACAAAGAGACACAAACCACTCAAGTGAAATCCAGCACATTTGTGTGAGAACACACTTGAACCCATGCTAAGACATTTTAGTCTCCTTCACGAGATCTGGTGCACTTTTCTTTTACATCAAGCAAATCCCAACGTGTTTAAATTGGTATTAGAAATCCACAGGTCATATTCCCATGCTAAATTCACCTACTCCATATGAAATCAAACCCTGATCAGCAAACAGTGGCAATGTTGGCACAATAGACTGGAACACCAGTTTTAAAGGATCCAAACTTGTCTCACTGTGTTGGAAATTATCAAAGACAGAAACAGGAAAAGAAAAGCCCCCCAAAATGACCTGGCCCAGTTGGTTTCTCAGTCAGATTTCAGGATGTTTCACAAAACTTAAATCTCCTCATTTAACTAAAAGATTGCTAAGTCCTAGAACGAAACGCAACTCACTGAATTTTCCTATCTCATCAATTTAACACAGAAGTGAAGTTTTGAAACTATAAATTCAGAGTTCACCAAGAAACTCCAAACCATTCTTAGGAAGCAATATGTGCTTTTCCAAATAGGGAAACACTGGAAAACGTTTTGATTGGCTTTTGGCATAGAAAAGTACTTTGTGCAAGCAACTCTTGCACACTAAATATTGAGTATAAAACAGAGACCTGTTCAAATTAAGCTCTTCTATTGATTTTTACAGCTATTTAATTAACACTGATGCACTGCATGTTTAATGAGGACACATGTGAATTCTGACTCCCAGTCCCATGAGGCTCAAATCAAGTGAAATGGGAATTCACTGTTATTTCCATACTGAAATACAACTCAACTCACCTTAGCCATGACCACTGACTGAGCTGGGTAACAGAGAGAATATCCTACAGTGGTAAGTCCCAAGAGATAAGCAATTTTCTTAAGCCTAGAACCTGTGTAAAAGCAAATTGTTTTGATTAATTAGACAATAATGAAATGTAAAGTTCATAGAATCATAGAATTTAAGGGTTGGAATGGACCTTACAGATCAGGAGAGACCAGAGTGGGATTACAGGTTAGCACAGACACATTTGCAGGAGATACTGATATCCTGAAAGAGAAATAATCCCAACCTAGGCTTTCCAGTGTTGTGAGAGATGAGAACAACTGTGTCATTCCTTCTACCTAATCCTGTTAGCTCTTAGCCACCTTCCAGCAGAAGTACTGAACAATGTCCCTGCAATCTATCAGCAAGGATTCTTTTTAATATCAGATCCATATTTTTTTGCCAATGTTCCAGAAAAGTCTTCTGACCATTAAATTATGCCATGCTACATATTCAACAGAGCCATAATGAAAAGGAGCAAACTCTTACCTTTTCTTGCCAGAGCTAAGCCAGCTAAGCCTGACACAGTAATTACACCCACTCTGGGGAGAAAGTCTGGTGGAGGGTTCTCCAGGTACACATAGGCATCTTCAAATTGGGGAGAAAAGGGGAAAAAACAGAAAAAGTCAATGGTAATCCTTCAATTTTCTTTCCCACTTAAGAAATAAAGATGGAAGTAAAATTACAAATCTCCTGGACTGAAAACAGTCCATGACTGGATTTTGTTAGTGAAGGAAGATGCTTTATTTTCCAGGTCTATTTCCCAGGTTCTACTTTTTTCCTTTTCCAGACTCAGCAGTCTGTGTTAGATAGAACCAAAATCACAGCCCTCAAAACACAGCAAACCTAACTGTTTCTATCCATGGATACTTTTCTGTGTTTTGCAAAATATTAGTCCTTAGTAAAGAAAAAGGAAAACATAGTTTAAGTTTGGCTCTCAGTCAGTTAATGCAGATGAAATGAGACAATCCATGATTTGCTTACCTTTTCCAAACTGAATCGAATCCCTTACTCCATTTTTAACAAAGACAAAAACTCCCTGCAAACACACAAGCAAACAAAGAGTAAAACCTCTGCAAAGTAGATGTTTGCAGATGGCTCAGCACAGTGAGACAAAGAAATGTAACCTCAGTAACCCAACCCAGACCAGTGACCTGCAGAGGCTCTGCCGAGATCAACTCCCAAAACATCCACATTGATAGTTTTTAAACTTCCATCCTTCTTTAATTTGTTAAATATCTCTTTAATGTAAGCTCAGTTTCACAACTGACACCTCAGGCACAAAGCTGTGGGGCAGCAAAGCATCTGGACACTGACTGCAGAATGTATGAAAATTCAGTCATAAACCACAATTTTCCTTCTCTGCAGAGACTTTCCCAGGAAAACTGACTTTGCCTCCGTGTGTAAGAGCAACACAGAATTTGTCCCAGCAGAGGTCACTGCTACTCAACGATGGGAACTCTCAATGATTTCGGGCATGAAAAAGCTTGATGGAGATCTAGAACTACATTATTTCAGTTATGCAGCCACTGAGAAAACTTGCAAGACCAAAGCAATCATCACTAACAGAAAATACAGGAAAACACTTTGACTTTTTTTCGTTTTTTTTCAAATGTTAGGATCTATTTTGAAAAAACATAAAATGTCATCCCAACAAGAGCCAGGGCAGAGCTGTCCTTTACTAGCAGGTAAGAGAACAGTGACAGGAATCACACCCAGAACGTGCAGGACCAGAGCTGTGAGGGATTTCCGATGACTAGTTAGCAGCAGTTACATGGGATGCACTCAGCTTGTCTTCCCCAAAGCACCTGACCAGGGACTGTAACCCCCCTCTGGAAGCAGCTCACTCTCTCCTAGGACTGCACCTGGAACTTCAGACTCCTACATGCTCTCAAGTTCTTCCAGCAAGAACTGACCTACATATATCCTGCTGTAGTAGGATTCATTTTTCCATCCTAAATTATCAGTGTATGCTAAGACAAATGGCAAAAAACCCAACTCCTTCTGGGTGAATGAAGCTGTTTTTGCAATGTTTTAGTCTGGTGTTGTCAGGAATTGTAGGAAACCTTAAATAATGCATTTCTTACCTTGCACCATCCAAAGTAGTGACCAGTTGTCTGTCTCAGTGAGGAGAGTTTCCTCTGCAAGTGCCCAGGCTGCTCCTCAATGTATTTGGATTTCAGAGGAGGTGCACTGTAAATTGGGAGCTGGAAAGAAAGGCAGAGCTGTACTGCAGGATAGTCCTGTACACTAATTAGTCCTTACAATGATCAGGGTTTTTCCAGCCCTGAAAGCCTCAGTGTTCCCATTACAGCTAACAAACCTCTACATGGAATTATGAGCTTTGCAGTTACAAACTGACTTGGTAATTCTTCAGATGTGAAAACTGGCAGTATTGTACAGGTTCTAAGAAGGAGAATTCCTGAGTAAAATAAATTGTCTTTTAGTCAGTAAAAGCAGGAGCAAGAATAGGTGGAAGATGGATGTGTGTATCCCTAGAAATTGTACAACAGAAAAACACTATTATTATCAGTAAGTTTCACACTCTTCTACCTTTTCTGGCTTCAGCTTGGAAATAACGTAAGAGTGAAAATCAGACAAAGCTTTACAAATTGAACATTGTAACACTTCAGGTTTCATTTGAGCTATAGTGGTCAGTTATTTTATTACCCCATTACTTCACTATGTGTTTCCTTTATTGGGCAATGTAATTCAATGCAAAGAGTTGGTATCCTGCAGATTTTTCTAGCACTATTTAAAGACTGACACAGAGTAAGATTCCTACCTGATTTGGCTTCACCAGCTGACTTTTGGATTCCTTTTCTGTTGCTGCATACACGGTACTCCATGCAAAAGGCAGCCCAGCAGAGACAGCTGCCAGCTTTGCCACCTGGGACAGTGGAAAGAGGGAGTCTTAACGTAGGAATCAAAATATCTCTCTCCTAAAATCTGGGTTTTACTCTTGTCTTGGGCTTGATCAAATATGGGGTTAAACAACTCACTTATATCAAAGACTAGAAAAGAAGCACATGGAAAAACATCTGCAACAAGCTGGAGCTGTGAAACACCCTGGAATTCCATGGAGAGCAACTCCAGGACATCAGCTGATAACTGATTAACAAATAAACAAAGATCTTCTCAATGAATTCAGGAAACAGTAGCTACAACAGCCTCGAGCCCATGACACCTTCTGGAGGTGAATCCTGCATGGACACAGACCAAAACACACTAAGCATTCCCAGCTGGAATGCTCTGGGTGGAGGGAAGGTCAGGGACAAGCAGTAAGATACTCCCTGTAACACTCCTGCCACACTCCTGACACTGCAACACTTACAGCCTGGAGGGTTTTTTGCCAGGCACAAAAATCACACCAGTGGCTTCAAAGACCAACAGACAGCGGAGTTACTTTGATGAGAACACTGAACAGCAATTACCTGCTGAAGAAATGTTACATAGTCTCCAGCAGAAAACTGTTACAGTTCCACCTTTTGATAGTAGCTCTAGAGTGAAATCAATCAAAACAGAATACCAAAACTGTCAAATGCACCTGATGATTTTGGCTTTAAGCCTTTGCACTTCAAACAAGCTGTTCCAATCTTATCACAGATCAAAAATACAAACTCAAAAAAGTCAAAGAGTTCCATCACTACAAAGAATTCACTATCAGAAGATGCAGAACACAAACTAAGCCATAGTAAAACCACATCTTTAATTTATGCTAATCTCCAAGACTGTTTCCCACTGAAACTGCCAATTCTGTGTACTCACTGCAGGAACTGGAGCATGAGGCAGGAAAACTTGTCCTGAAGGTAGGAACAGCCTCAGAACAACAGGCAACCACAGGAGAGAAGTATATGGAAAAATATGGATTCATATATAAAAAGATATGAGTTCTCTATCCCAAAATGGGAACTTATCAGCCAGGCTAAAAGAGGATTGAAATATTAGCAGCTACCTCATGTCATATTATCCATGGGAAAAAATGTTAGTTAAACAATAAGAATCACAGGTTTATGTTCTCCTACCACTCAGATGTCTTGAGGTAGATCACAAAACTATCTCATGTCCTTTGGGTTTGTTTTTCCCAGAAGTTGAGACATGTTGATTGCCAAAGCCACCATTCTAACTTGGATATGTATTTAGAAATCTCTAATGACAACTGATCCCAAAACACCACACACAAGTGGAACAGAACATCCTTCCACTTCAGCTCATCTCACTGATGATGCTCCACAGATTTGGGGTTAATTTTTTTTGCCAGATGGGAGCCCCCAGAGTGAAATATTAAGAATAAAACTACTAATTTTTCACAGTAAATAACGAAGAACACACATAAAGTTAGGTCACTTCGCTAAATTACTGAATCATTCAGATTTATGGACTGAACTATACTATTTCAAGATCACCCAGACAGACAGCAAAGCCAAGACAAACCAAGGTAAAATGCTTCATTTTCATCCCTCTTTCTGTCCTCATCTGCTTCACCCATCTCTGTGCAGACATACACACATTTTAAATGCTTTGCACAAGAGAATGTAAAGATCCACATAAGAGCAACCTATTCATCAGACTGTGACACTGCAAAACCTGTTAAACATCTCTGAGAAAAACTTGCAGGTAGAGGTTCTCTGTTTAAAGGTTCTCTGTTGCTCTCTCTGTTTAGAGTCACTGGGCCACCTCTGCAGTTAAGAGGTGTTTGAGATACTTGTGACCCTGTTAGTTTGTACAGTGTGACTTAGCCTTGGTTTAGTGACGAACAGCACCACCAACACTTGATAACGACACTGCCAAACCATCACCTTGACACTCAGGTAAGGAGTGGAAGGTGTTTCAGAAGCTCTAAGCAGATGAAGAACGACCAGAAGAGAAACACTTCTTTTACCCCCTGGTGCACAATTTTAACCACTCTTGAACCACCTCAAGCTCTGCAACGGCGAAACCACCTCCGAAATTCACTTTCCCACTCCTCCTTCACCCGATCCCCGCGTTACAGGCTGCAGGGATGCCACCATTCCTCCTGCTCCCCACAGCGCGGCTGTGACCCTCCCCGAGCGATGCAGAGC